GCCGCCGACCCCGCTGGAGCATAGTTGAAAGGTTTAAACGCGCTCGTCAGCTCAAAGGATGCCAAAAGTTGATTTGCTTGAGCCTCTGTGAAACGTGGGGGGGGGGGGGGGGGGGGGGGGGGGGGGGGGGGGGGGGGGGGGGGGGGGGGGGGGGGGGGGGGGGGGGGGGGGGGGGGGGGGGTGGTTTTTCCCAAAGGGCCCCTATGTCCTGTGCGAAACCGCCTATGGTCCGTGAGTTTATGCCGTGTGGGTGGCCTGGCCCTCCATGGAAAAGCTGCCCGGGGACCCCCCCCTACCCGCCGCGTTTTGGGGGGGTAAGGGGAAAGAGGGGGGGGGTTTTCACCTCCTTTTCCCATCCAACACGCCGCCAGGGTCGGCGGACCCTAAACCCTAAACCCTAAACCCTAAACCCTAAACCCTAAACCCTAAACCCTAAACCCTAAACCCTAAACCCTAAACCCTAAACCCTAAACCCTAAACCCTAAACCCTAAACCGCGCGAACGAAGAGCAGCAAAGGCAACAGAGCTTCGTGGTGCTCTCCGTGGTCAGCTTCTCTATCTCTTCCGTCGTCGTGCTGCTCACGGCCCACTTTCAGGCGTCCGGGGTGTCGCAGGCTTCCGAGTTTTGACTTTAAGGCCTAGGCTTTAGGGCTTTGGGCCTAGGCTTTAGTCGGTTTAGGGTTTAGGGTTTTTAGGGCTTAGGGTTGCAGCAGTTTAGGGTTTAGGATTTAGGAAGAAGGGTTTAGGCGAATTAGGCTTGGGGTTTAGGCAGTCTAGGTATAGGGGCGTAGAGTTTAGGGCTTAGGTCTGGGGTTTAGGGCTTGGGCTTTAGGGCAGTGTGGCTTACGGGTTTCGGGTTGACAAAACCCAGCCCTCCAGGCGCACTTTCTCATTGGCCTGAACTCGGCTCTGGATGCCTGGTGTCTCCGGAGCCTGGGATTTAGGGTTTAGGGTTTAGGGTTTAGGGTTTAGGGTTTAGGGTTAGGGTTTAAGGTTCAGGGTGTTAGGAACTTAGGTTTAGTCATACGGTTCTAAAGGCTTGTCGGTACAGCAGTGCGCTCTGTGGGCCCTTGGGGTTATTTCTATTTCTCCCTGCTTGGGCTTCAGAGGGTTTAGGGTCTAGGGTTTAGGGTTTAGGGTTTAGGGTTTAGGGTATATTGTGTATTGATATTCATGAACATCGGGGCAACCCGGCCCCTGTGTTATGGCGAGGAGCTTCCAACACCTGGACTGTAGTTCGGCCGTCTGCAGCTGGAACGCCTTGCAACCTGGAGTTGTTTTGGGTGCGTTTTGGGGGGGTTTGGCAAGGTTTTGGGTTTTTTGTTTTTTTTTTTTGGTTTTGTTGGGGTTTGGGGGTTTTGGCAGGGTTTTGGTGTTTTGGGTTGTTTTTTGGGTTTTTTGGGGTTTGGTGATTTTTGCAAGGTTTTGGGGTTTTGGGGTTTTGGGGTTTTAGGGTTTTGGGGTTTTGGGGTTTTGGGGTTTTGGGGTTTTGGGGTTTTGGGGTTTTGGGGTTTTGGGGTTTTGGGGTGTTGGGGTTTTGGGGTTTTTGGGGTTATGGTTCTTGGGTTAGGGGAGCTGGGTGTTGGGATGTTCCCTTATACTAACAGTCCTCAACAGGGATTATCATCTGTTGGCGCAAGGAGTAGCATCCCAAGCTGGCTACCTCGCCGAAATGTCGGCATGGGCCAGCAAAGTTCAAGTAAGCCATATATATAACCCTAAACCCTAAACCCTGAACCCTAAACCCTGAACCCTCAACCCTGAACCCTAAACCCTGAACCCTAAACCCTAAACCCTAAACCCTAAACCCTAAACCCTAAACCCTAAACCCTAAACCCTGAACCGAACAACCCAGGCAGGCGGTGTTGCGCACAATCAGCCGGGAGCTCGCCCCGTGCTTCCTCGTCACGCAGCTCTTGTCTTTCCTGGGCATGATCTATTTCATAACAGCTGGGCTGCTGTTTGTCTTCCAGAGCCTTGTCTGACGCAGGGTTTGGGGGTTTAGGGTTTAGGGTTTTAGGGTTCAGGGTTTCGGGTTTGGGGTTTTGGGGTTCGAGTTTAGGGTAAGTTCTCAGCGCTTTGTTTTTCAGGGTCGGTTCTGATGTACTCAGAACCCTGACATGGACTCAGGAACCAGTACGAACCGGTCAACCTGCTTTTGGAGGGCCTGTCGTGTTCACCGTTCATTTGGCTTCTCCTGCTGAGCATGCGGATCTGTGCTGCCGGGGCCGACCTGACAGCAAAATGTCATGGAATTCCAGCGTTCGTCAATCAGCTGGCCGCCGGGGTTCCTTTAAGTGTGGAAAGGCAGTACTTGGTGCAGTTCATTAGCGACAGCTCGGCCGGCTTCGTCATAAACGACGTGAAGCTGACGCGCGAGTTTTTTATGAAGGAGATCTTAGTGTTTGCCGGCATCTCGTCAGGTCTTGTTACCATTCTGTCCCGCGTCTTCCTGTAGCCAGATGCCAAGACTTCACCGGTAAATGTGGCGAAGCCCTAGGCTCTTAACCCCAAACCAGAGAGGCCCCTCATTCTGCTTCACAACATAGTCAAATCTCCCAGGTATTTCTCGCTTGGTACCCTTTACCCTTTTCTTGGGTTCAAGGTTCCCTCATAAAGTAACCAACCCCAAAAAAGGGTGCGCTTTGGGAATGTGGGGGTTTCCGAAAACAGGGGTACCTTATTGGGGTCCTCATTATAAGGGAATCCTATCATTCGGGGGTCCCTTATTTTCGTAAACTCCCATATGGCTACGGGTCTACCAAGATCGGTTCTGGCTCACTTGCGACGACAGAGAAGTTTACTGGATACCAGCCCGGGCAAATTGCCTGTGCTGGGCAACCCTGCCCTCCGGGATGAACACGTATGAACAGCTTGTCATCGGAAGCCACGAACCCATCACTTTGCTTTTGGAGGGCTGGTTGCCCGTCACTTGACGGCTGCTGCTGGTAGGTGCATCGCGTGGCCGGCTTCGTCAGCACGCCCGCGCTCGCGCGAGTTCTTCAGGAAATCCTGTGTTTGCCGGCATTTCAGCAGGTCTTGCTACCCTAAGGGTCCGTGTACCTCATTCCTGTATACTTGGGCCCGAAAGTCCCTGTATAGGAGCTACTTTAAGGCTCAAGTATGTAATAATCAGGTACAGGGACCCTTAGGGTTACACCTTTGTCCCGAGTCTTCCTGTCGCCAGATGCCAAGGCTTCACCGTAAATGTGGCAAAGCGTGAGACGCTGAGCCCCACATCGATGGCAGCCCTTCACTCCGTTCCATGTTCTACTGCCCCCCACCAAAGAACAAAAATCCCTGGGTTTAGGGTTGGTTTAGGGCTTAGCAAATCGCAGTGTTGCAGAGCGGACGGTCCCAGCTCATCATATCGGCCTCTGGCTTTCCTCGGCGACAGAGAGAGAGAGAGAGAGGCTCACTCCATGCTCCAATAGGAAGACCGCCAAGAGTCTTCTCCTAGGGTTGTTGCATGATCCCTTTTATGGGCCCTTAAAAGGGGACCTCCTATATATCCCCACAGATACCCTACAAAACCCAAGGGCCCATACTTCAGTATACCCGAATTCCTGAGCTCTTTTCGGGTGCTGCATTTTAAAAGGGGTTTTGCAACGTTAAGAACCCTAAACCCTAAATGGGTTTTTGCTAACGTCAAAAAGCACTGAATGCTGACGGCAGTATGAGAGAGTCTCGAGCTTGTCCAGTCTCACGCTCGTCGAGTCAAGTACCTGATCAAGCCTTGGCCCGCATGTGCCCCCAGGGTTTAGGGTTTATAGGGTTTAGGGTTTATAGGGTTTAGGGTTTAGGGTTTAGGGCTTAGGGTTTATAGGGTTTATAGGGTTTATAGGGTTTACAGGGTTTATAGGGTTTATAGGGTTTATAGGGTTTATAGGGTTTATAGGGTTTATAGGGTTTAAAGGGTTTACAGGGTTTATAGGGTTTAGGGTTTATACGGCTTATAGGGTTTAGGGTTTGTAGGGTTTAGGGTTTATAGGGTTTACAGGGTGTAGGGTTTAGGGTTTAGGGTTTATAGGGTCTAGGGTTTAGGGTAGAGGGACTAGGTCAGGGCAGGCGGGGGAGACTCTCATGCACCTCCTCCCCTCTTTCCGCCCCTTCCAGCCCCCAAAGCCAGCATCCCGTCTGGGCAGCAGTAATCTTCGGGTTTTGGTCTTGGGGTCAGTAATACTCTCAAGCCAAAACCTCAAGATGGGCGCAAATCGCGCGCGCACGCATGCGTATTGTAAATGCCAGATTTACCTAAGTGAAAATGTCAATATAACTATAAATATAAAATATGGAAAAAACACATAAGTACACAAATAAAAACAAAAATAAACAAAACATAAATATAAATTTCAATACAAATATAATTATAAATGTATGTATACACATACATACATACATACATACATACATACATACATACATACATACATACATACATACATACATACATACATACATACATACATACATACATGCACACATACATACATATATACATACATACATACATACATACATACATACATACATACATACAGGGAGCAGTCGCAAGTTTGAGTTTGTTGGACAATTTGGGCTCAGAGGGCGAACAAGCACGAGGTTTAGGGTTTAGGGTTTAGGGTGTAGGGCTGGGGTTTAGGGTTGAGGGCCCTAAACCCGAAGGGTTTCAGGGTGCTACACAGCAGAAAGGGTCCCGGGACCCCAAATTGAACACGGTAAATCTTCAGGCTTTGAGGTGTCTCTATGGTTCCGGGTAAGGTAGGGTTTAGGGTTTAGGGTTTAGGGTTTAGGGGTTTAGGGGTTTTGGGGTTTTGGGGTTTTGGGGTTTTGGGGTTTTGGGGTTTTGGGGGTTTAGGGTTTAGGGTTTAGGGCTTAGGGGTTAGGGTTTAGGATTTCGCTGACAACGTGGCTCAGGCATCTTGGCCGAGCTCTTTTGGGTGTTTAGGGTTTAGGGCTTAGGGGTTAGGGTTTAGGATTTCGCTGACAACGTGGCTCAGGCATCTTGGCCGAGCTCTCGCCGGGTGACGCCGTCTTCTTCTCCCAGCGGACCGCCGCTTCGGCCGCGACCAGGACGTCTCTGAAAGGCGGTAGGGTTTAGGGTTTAGGGTTTAGGGTTTAGGGTTTAGGGTTTAGGGTTTAGGGTTTAGGGTTTAGGGTTTAGGGTTTAGGGTTTCGGGTTTCGGGTTTCGGGTTTCGGGTTTGGGGTTTGGGGTTTGGGGCTTGGGGTTTGGGGTTTGGGATTTGGGATTTGGGGTTTGGGGTTTGCCGACCTGGGTCTCGATTTAGGCAACAGTTCTATACATCAGACCAACGAAGCTAACAGGTAGACAGTACGAAGCTGCAGGTTCAGGGAGTGTTCCCGCTTCGTTGTGAGCAAAGAGGTTAGTCTAGGCACTTCCTACCCGAACCCCTAAACCTTCAACCCAACCCTAGTTGGGGTTTGAGGTTTCGGGCTCAGGAGTTGAGACTTCTGGAGAAGTGCAGGCATGGAATAGAGGAAGCGATTCAAATTCAGCAGCCCACAACCCCACAGACCCTGGAAACCCAAGAAGCTGAGGTTAATTCCCAAACCCTCAACCCCACCGGGTCTAGGTTTGGGGGGGGTTCCCCTAAACCCTAAACCCTAAACCCTAAACCCTAAACCCGAAACCCGAAACCCGAAACCCGAAACCCTGAACCCTGAACCCTGAACCCTGAACCCTAAACCCTAAACCCTAAACCCTAAACCCTAAACCCTAAACCCTAACCCTAAACCCTAAACCTAAGCCCTAAACCCTAAACCCCTGTCCCCCTGAGGTCCACGGGGGCTGCGGACCAAACCTCTCCAGCGCTGTGCGCTGGGCTGTGGACCTCAGGCCGGGTTGAGCCCCCTTAAGGTTTGAGGCGTGTAGGGTGTAGGGTTTAGGGTGTAGGGTGTAGGGTTTAGGGTTTAGGGTGTAGGGTTTAGGGTTTTGGGTATAGGCGTTGCGGTTGAACCCGGAACCCGAAACCGCAGACCCGAATCTCTGAACCCTAGAGACCCCCAGACCCATGCAAAGAGATTTCGAGAGTCTCTGCTCTAGACACTTCCGGGGGTCTCAGTCGGGAACGGCAACGCACTTAACATCGGGGTCAGGCTAATTGCTGATCGTATTCCCTTATGGCCCCTACACATTTATACTACAATAACCCCCCCCCCCCCACCCCCAAAACCCTAAACCCTAAATTAACCCTACACCCTAGACCCTAAACCCTAAACCCTAAACCCTAAACCCACTTGGAGGTTCATGGGTACTTCTAAATCCAATTTGGGGTGAGGGTTTAGGGTTTAGGGTTTAGGGTTTAAGGTTTAGGGTTTGGGTGTAGGATTTGCCCCTAAAGCCCCGAGTACGCCTAGTTCCCTCTAGACCCTAAGTAAGCCTTAGACCCTACTGCCCCTAAAGCCCCCAATGTCCTTGAACCTTGAGTAAGCCCTAAACCCTAAGCCCTAAACCCTAAACCCTAAACCCTAAACCCTAAACCCTAAACCCTAAACCCTAAACCCTAAACCCTAAACCTTAAACCCTAAACCCTAAACCCTAAATCCAAACCCTAAACCCCCAAAGCCCTCAAACCTCTCGAATGCGACCATGGCGAGCTGGGGCCTCTCCAGAGTGCTGCATATGGGGGGGTGATGCGCGCACTGTCACGTTGCAGCGACGTCTGTTCGCAAAACCAGGACTTGCAGAGGCCCAGCCGGTGACTGTCAGGCTACAGATGTCAGCCAAAAGGGAAGGCTAGGTGGCCAAAACCTGGCCCTCTACTGCTACTTGCGTGTCGGTGCTGAGCAAGCGGCAGCGTCCACAACTGTGCTTGCGAACTCACAACGCACCAGTGCGAGATGTCTCTCAACAAGCATGTCTGTTACAATTGCTGATGTACCCCATCCGTGCTGCTGTGGCTTCAGTCACACGGGGGCGAAGAGCGTGCAACCCTCCTGCAAAGGCATGTTGAGGTTTGGTATCTGCAGCCAGGCGAATCCATTTCGTTCTTGCACCCAAATGCCCGTAAACCGTAAGTAAGCCCTAAACCCTGAACCCTAAACCCTAACCCTAACCTTAAACCCTAAACCCTAAACCCTAAACCCCAAACCCCCAAACCCCAAACCCTAAACCCTACCAGACGGCCCTTTTTAGGTGGCAAAACCCAGCTGACCGCAACTTCCTCACGGGCCAGCGGGACGCTGTAAAGTTGAGCCTTGGCAATTTTGGAGGGGGCTTACGATGTTAGGGTTTAGGGTTTAGGGTTTAGGGTTTCCGAAAATAAGGTGACCTTATTGGGGTCGACTTACTGTAGGGGGATCCTACTGTTTGTGGGTCCATATTCGGGATCCCGTATTTTCGGAGACCCCCTTTTTCTGTCAAGAACCTCGCCGCCTCGGGAGGGTGCTGCCTGAACTTTTGTATGCTGTCTCAATTGCGCGCGTCCGCCTCCTGCACGCACGAGTGTGAGGTGCGCCCCGTAAGGCAGCACGCAAGTATTCATGCGGCACGCATTGCGAAGCAGCATGGCTAGGGAGGCCGTAGATTCTGGAACCCTCAACCCTCAACCCTCAACCCTAAACCCTAAACCCTAACCCCTAAACCCTACAAGCTGCCGAATCCGCCACCTTGAAAGAGGCCTGGAACTGGGGACTATTGGGATTGTTACCTTCTATCTTTAGGGGGGGGCTTTTGAACAGGTTTTAGGGTGTTTCCTTGCTTTTTCGGGGTTCTTAACCCCAAACCCTAAACCCGAAACCAGGGCCTGAGGGTGTTAGGGTGTAGGATTTCGGGGGGTTCGAGCCGGGCGAGGTGGGACACGGAGTGCGGCCTGCAGGAGGTTGACGCCCCTTTGGCCATGGTTTAGGGTTTAGGGTTTAGGGTTTAGGGTTTAGGGTTAGGGTTTAGGGTTAGGTTTTCGGGTTTAGGGTTTAGGGTTTAGAGTCTAGAGTCTAGGGTTTAGGGTTTAGGGTTTAGGGTTTAGGGTTTAGGAGGGGGTGGGTTGGAGTTTTGAAGTTTAGGGCTTATGGTTTAGGGGTTAGATGTTTATTCGGGGTTTGCCCTCAAAGGCTAATCCCCAAGTTTCACAAGGATCCGGCTTCTTGTTCTTCAAAACCTGTTGAACGTGAATACTTCCCTGAAGCACACAGCAATCGGGCTTCGGGTTGAGGGCTCAACGTTCCGCGTTATCTTAAGATCCCAGATCTCTGCCTAGACTCTCACTTGCCCTAGGAGACCACCGAACGTACCCCAAACCCTAAACCCTAAACCCTAAACCCTAGACCCTAAACCCTAAACCCTAAACCCTAAACCCTAAACCCTCAACCCTAAACCCTAAACCCTAAATCCGACCTGGAGGGGTTGAGGGTGGGGGGCCGGCCTGTGTCTCTCACGCATCCTGCAGTTCACCCCAAACCCTAAACCCTAAACCCTAAACCCTAAACCCTAAACCCTAAACCCTAAACCCTAAACCCTAAACCCTAAACCCTAAACCCTAAACCCTAAACCCTAAACCCTAAACCCTAAACCCTAAACCTACTGGCTGTTAGTTGGGAACGAGGGATTTGGCCTCCCGAAAGAATCCCTTAAAGGGTTTATATATGGGGGTTTGCGAAAATAAGGGGCAGGAAGGGCCCCAATAAGGTACCCCTAATGGCGAAAACCCCCATATTATCGGGAGGAGGGGAGGGTAATAATAAGGTACCTAATTCCGCCCTAAACCCTAAACCCTAAACCCCAAACCCTAAACCCTAAACCCCTAAACCCCTAAACTCATGTAGTGTCGGAGACTTTGGGTCGTGCCCAGGTAGAGAAGTGGGCGGCCGCGTGGAAGGAGCAGGAGCAACTTCGGAAGGCTGGGATGGGGGGTGGATTAGGGTTTGGGGTTTCGGGATTAGGGTTTAGGGTTTAGGGTTTAGGGTGCATCCGGACTCATTTCTTGAGGGGTCACGTCGTGGAGCTTCTTTGTGTTGCTAAGCTGCTACCCCCCAAGCGTGTGCAAGTTTAGCAGCAAATTCCCCATGGGGGGGGGGGGGGGGGGGGGTGCTATGCCAGAATGTTGCCGACACTTGCCACGCCCAAGACATGTGTAACCTTATTATTATTTTTATTATTATTACCATTATTACTATTATTACTATTATTACTATTATTACTACTATTACTATTATTACTATTATTATTACTATGATTCTGATTATTTTATTATTGTAGATATTGTTTAGTTCATGTTTCAATTCAGTTGTGACCTTCCGGTGACAGTCTCAGCTGTTGTCCCCGACTTGTCCGTTGACCAACCTTTGGATATCGGTCGGGTTTCCCTGCTTTTGTTCCTTGTCCCTGGCCTTAGCAGGCAACAGCTACAAAGCCATAAGCCGTAGACCCTAACTACGAAGCCCAACTACAAATTAAGCCATAACCCCGCGCTGTATAAGCCCAAAACTTTAACAGCCGACAGTCTCCAAAGACATCGCCCCTCCGAAGCACGATGCGGTTCCGAGTCCAAAACGTAGATTCAGGGCTAAGGGAGGGGTTTAGGGTTTAGGGCTTAGGATTTTAGGGTTTAAGGTTTAGGGCTTAGGGTTGAGGGTGTGGGGCTTAGGTGTTAAAATTTTAGGGCTTGGGGTTTTGGGGGTTTCGGGTCCCGTCCGTTTTGCCAGGCTGGGCGTCACTGGGAGGCGGCGTGGCCGCGCTACCGGCCACACGCTCAGGTGCTCACGCTCTCTTTTCTATTGTTTAGGGTTTAGGGTTTAGGGTTGTTTAGGGTTGTTTAGGCTTGTTTAGGGTTGTTTAGGGTTGTTTAGGGTTTAGGGTTTAGGGTTTAGGTTCAGGGTTTCGGGTTGTTTAGGGTTTACGATCATATTGGGTTTCTGAGGACCCTATATAGAAATTGCTACAAAAGGGTTTTTAAGGGCAGACCTGATCCTAGTTACTAGTGACAATGTAGGCCTTCTTTGGTTTCTTTTTCGAGGATGTATGGTAGAGTTGCAGTAGATGAGGGTACGCATTCTGGGTTCTTTGTGGTTGGGATATAGGCGAGGCCGCAGGCATTCACCAGAAGCTATGAACACAGCTAACCTGTCAAGGAATGCATGTTACGTGTCGAAGCCTACAACCCTGAAGCCCTAAACCCTCCCCTGTATTCACCCCTCCCACCTCCCCAAACAGCAACCACCAAAACAACCTTCGTTCTAAGTGTACCGCAGTTTTATTGCTGTTTTTGGGGCGGGGGGAGGGGGGAGGGGGGAGGGGTACCTGAGTTGAAAGTTACCGGAATTGTATCAGGGGGACAGGCAAGGCAGCATACGCGAAAGAAAGTTTTGGGATCTCGGGCTTAGGTTTCGGGATGAAGTAGGGCAGCCCTAGACCTAAACCCTAAACCCTAAATTACAGATTATTAACCCCTAAACCCTAAACCCTAAACCCTAAACCCTAAACCCTAAACCCTAAACCCTAAACCCTAAACCCTAAACCCTAAACCCTAAACCCCCGCCCCCAAGCGTGCTGGAGCCCAGGCCCCCGCCGGGTCCAGAGGACTGAGCACGACTTTTGCACATGGAGTTGGGATGTTCCCCCTCCCTTCG